GTGTGTGTGTGTGTGTGTGTGTGTGTGTGTGTGTGTGTGTGTGTGTGAAGTGTGAAGTGGAGAAGGGAGCACTCCCCCCATGGTTTTGGATGACCTCTGTTGCGAAAGTGTTGATGGTTTTATTGGCTCCAAATTGGGTTTATAAAGCCATGAAATCCACTGAAACAAAAGGCCTCCCTGGGCTCACTGTAAACGGGAGGCTTAAAACACATCCTCTATCGGCGTATTCGTGTGCGGGTGTGGGTGTGTGTGTTTGCACGAGCGTGTGCAAAGAGTACGCACGTGACGCGCCAGCTCAGACGTGTGCATACGCATGCAGCGCTCTGCGTGTGTCTGTGTCAGGGATTATGGGATATTTCAGCTCCAAGGATATCCGAGCAGCAGGTTCTCTCCATCCAGCTTACACACACAGACGGACACACCCAGTCGCGCACACACACACACACACACACTCACACAAGCGGTAGTCTGCCAAATAAGCTGAGAGGCTTGACTCTGGGCTGTTTTTAATTATAATCCTGCTGGAGTACAGAAACTGTGCGCCCAAGCTTTCCTCTATTTGTTTTATTAGAAACTTTAATGAGTTTCACAACACTTTCTATTGAGCTTTCGGACTCGCTAAGTTGGGAGTTATGGTCCAGTTATCTCCATCGCTACTTATGCAAGAAAACACTTGTTTATTGTTCCCCGGTAGATTTAAATGTAGAAGGGCTAACGTCAGCAATACTGTGGCAACTCAAATTAAACGATGCACTGTTTTATAATGCTTTTTATGGTGTAGTTGTTGATTGGTCAATTCCTCATTTTTATTACAGCAGTGTTCTTTCACTATTAACTTATACAACATTTCACTAATGTTTTGAGAACTGTATTTTTCTTTGTTCTATGTAACATGTCTACGGGATCAGTGAAGGTTCCTCTTCTGGGACACACAGTCGCTCCAGAGCTGAGGGTTTCATACTGTGCGTGTAATATCCAAGCAGTTCTTGAACAGCTCTCTTAATGAGTACATCCAACATACGTTATATTTCCTCTTTTGGAACTACTGTTGTTGCTGTCGTGGCTGCTGCTGCATGACAAGGGAATACAGAACATTTAGATTACAACTTCTATTTTAGCTACGACAGCCGTCCATCTTTGGAGAGGATTAAAAGTGTGTTTCCACTTTAGTAACGCCATCTCACCATTCTACATAACGGATATGTATGGAAATATATTACAGTTGAATGAATTCTGAACTATTCTGCGTGTTTTCAGGATCAGAACTACTGTGTTTAGCTTTGACTGGTCCAACGACAGCCTGGATGTGATAATGATAATGGTGGTGTTGATGGTGTGATAGAAGTAGTGATTTCACCGCTGATAAGTCAAATTCTGAAAATATAAATGATGTTGAAGTGTTTGATTGTTGCTGTTGGGGATGATACTGACGTCTGACCTCTCACCTCTGCAGAGCTCTTTCTGGTGCTGGCTGAAGAAAGAGCTTCTGAACATGAAGCCCCACTGGTGCAAAGAGCACGACGACTGGAATCTGTATCTGTTCCCTCCAGAGAACAAGTGAGTCTCACACACAACATTCCATCATCAATCTGTGTTTTAGATTCTACTTCGGCTTTCTTTCTCATGCTCTCCTTGCTTCACATTGCCTGATGTAATTATCTCAGTTGCTCCTCTCTCACTTTTCCTCCTTTTTATTGTTTTCTCACCGCTAATTGTTTGGTCGATAGCTTTAACCGGCCAGAGACATTTGATAGATGACTCTGTGTGTGTGTGTGTGTGTGTGTGTGTGTGTGTGTGTTCAGATTCCGTATGTGGTGCCAAAGTGTGATCTCTCACAAATTGTTCGACCACGTGGTTCTGGTTTTCATCTTCCTCAACTGCATCACCATTGCTCTGGAAAGACCTGATATACAGCTCCACAGCAAGGTGAGACACACACACACCTACACTCACACACACACACACACACACACACACACACACACACACATACACACTCTCGCACACACTTCCTGTGGTGGCTACATACTTTTGAGTTATCTCTCTTTCACAACTGATATGCTCTTCTTATTAGTGAATGCAACTTTCTACACCGTTTGTTTCACGGTTCATGCTATACTCTTTATTGACATATTATTTACAGGTTAATAAATACATATATATATATATATATATATATATATATATATATATACAGAAAGTATGAAGAACTGCAGCTCTCAGAACTTTTCATTCCGTAGTGACCAGTGTAATCAGCTGCAATTAATGAGCAAATGAATGAATTCTCATGATTCTCTCCTGTTTGCAGAGATATTTATAGAAACTTTAACACTGATTTCATCTGGTTACAAAGTGCTAACATATGTAAAAAGGAGCCAATAGGAACTTCCTCTATTTGACTACAGTAGACAAACTAGACACAAAGATAGAAACTCTGGAGCCTAACATCAAGGCTAAAACCTACCCACAATCTATTACTCTCTTAAAGTAACAGACTGAAGGGGCGAATACACAAAGAATGGATTGCGGCTGCTGGTAGCATCATGAAGTGTGCATCATTTGCAACCTAAAAGGATAATGTGCTATTGATATTACAGCGCGGACATGCCCAATAAAGTTTTGCAACTGAGTGCAATTTGGAAAAGTGTAACTGCGTCTGAGGCCAATGTTTGGGTTGTGAGGGGTGAGTCAGCCGTCTGAACCCGACGGGTCGATTCGGGTCAGACTCGGGCTCATTTAGCTTCTCCTGCCGTTGTGCCCATATATACACCTCTGCACCATAACTTTCTTGAGACATTGAGATGAGATATGAGTTTATTGAATACCCGCAGCGATCCCATCGCAGCAGAGGCGACAAGTGTTCATTTACTCACGAGGCACAGCAGCATAACTTCATTGATTATTTAAATCTTGTTTTTGTTTTTTCTCATGTATTTAAAAAAAAAAGACATGTAGGAGGCTTTGTTCATGTATATTACACGACACTATTGTCATTGCATCTTGTGCGCTTCAGTTACCAGCAAACCTCTGAAGACACTAATAATTTCACTGTAGCTGCGTGCGGCTGTCAGCGCTGATCTTTGGGATTTGGACTGTTTCTATCCTCATTTGCATATAAAAGGAGCAGATTTTGCACCAAAAGCACAGGAGCGCTGAGATGCTATTTGCTTTGCAGCGCAGTTGGCCTTCATTTCACCCGTTGCTGGTGCTTGCTCTATTCAAAGAGAACATGTGCTTCTGTGAATAAAGGAAGGTCTAGTCCCGACATGTTGTACTCTATACTGTATGTCTTTATATTGATCTCACTCTCTTCTGCAGGAGCGAGTGTTTCTGAGTGTGTCCAACTATGTGTTCACTGTGATCTTCCTGGTAGAGATGGCCATGAAGGTGAACACCACTGTTTCTTTCTCCTTAATTGTGGTGAACAGGTGTAGTTTGTAGTAGGTGATAAGCAAACATTTGAACATTTTGGCAGTTCTGCATCAATAACCTCCTAGTAGCTCTAATCTAAAGCTAACGTGATGTTGTAATCACGGTTTCTCCAGGTTCTAGCTCTCGGTTTCTGCTTTGGGAAGCAGACTTACCTCCAGTCCAGCTGGAACGTTCTGGACGGTTTGTTGGTGTTTGTCTCTCTGGTCGATATTCTGGTCTCTCTGGCTTACACCGGCGGAAACAGGATCCTGGGCATCCTCCGAGTGCTGCGCCTGCTACGAACACTACGCCCACTGAGGTACACGGTGTGTGTGTGTGTGTGTGTGTGTGTGTGTGTGTGTGTGTGTGTGTGTATGAAGGTTTGTGTGTCTGACTGTAAGCACCGCACACACAGGAAGCATCCCATCAGTAGCTACTGGACTATATGCACTGGTACTGACACACTTCTGTGTGTCTTTATTCGTGTGTTTCCCAGGGTGATCAGCCGAGCTCCGGGATTGAAGCTGGTCGTGGAGACGCTCATCACCTCTCTCAGACCCATCGGGAACATTGTCCTGATCTGCTGCGCCTTCTTCATTGTTTTCGGCATCTTGGGGGTTCAGGTAGTTTGCGATCCCACACAGTAACACGAACAAACCGGTGCTTTGCCTTAAACACGGAACAATTTGACAACACAGACATGTATGAGCTAGGTCCAACGCGCACGCTGCACTGATGACACTGCTTTCTCTGAGCTCGAGGACAAAACCGTTTAGCTTAAATGTCAATCTTGTTGAGCAGCTGGATATGTGATTGTGGCTTGAGGGGGATTTGGAAGTGTCTTGAATATCCAATAGGCAGTTGTTCCTCCAGAGTGTGTTTTGAAAGAATGACAATTGGGTTAAATGTGAAAAAGGACAACAGGACCCCCAGGCCAGCTGTTAGCCGAGCACTCGGGGGGGGGGAAAACCCTCCGATTAACAATGTGCTCTATGAAATGTCCTGTTACTGCTGCCATTAATAGTTGAGATAATGTGTGAATGGCAAGTAGCCCCGCAGACTTCTTTCTTTCTCTCACTGCCTAGCTGTTCAAAGGGAAGTTCTACCACTGTGAAGGTCTGGACATGAAGAACATCACCAACAAGTCGGACTGCCAGCAGGCCAACTACCGCTGGATACGCAGGAAGTACAACTTTGACAACCTGATTCAGGTGTGGATTAATAAAAACAAAGGAACTAAAAACTACCAATGCCAAATACCAATCTTCTTTTATTGCAACCTGCAGTGGAACAGTATACACTTATTGAAAGTTTAAGTATTATAAATTGTAAACAGTAGTATTCATTCTAATATTGACTCAGTTATCAGGACTGGATATCCATCTTCTAGCTAACATTGCACAAGATGCTGTGTCAGCACTGTAACTAGTCTCTGGGTGTGACGGTTTGAGGACCAGAGAAATCCTTGTGTTTTGACTTCCCTCTCTGTGTCTCCTATCCAGGCTCTGATGTCGTTGTTTGTGCTGTCCTGTAAGGATGGCTGGGTCAACATCATGTATGACGGGCTGGACGCAGTGGGAGTGGACCAACAGGTAATGATTCACTCAGCAGAACTGGTATCAGACATGTGTTGATGAGTCTGTTTCAGCAACATGAAGCCTGATCCATTTCCAATCAGTCCTCGCTCCTCTGACATGCACACTGTTCAGTTGTAATGTATATCAAATATAATAAAAGCAAAATAGCGAACTGTAGAACTATTCTATCCAGTTGAAGCTTTGACGCAGGCAAGTGCAAATACCTGCATTAAAACCACTTTGGGCTTTAAAGCAAAGAGACAGAGTTGGATTTCCTAAAAAAGCTCAGCAAAGTGAAATAGCAGTGGTGTAGTAATTACAGAATCTAAGCAAAAGCGGAGCTCAGAGGGTGAGTTTATAGCAGGCACTTCAAAGCTTCAATTGATGAGGCCGTCCTCAGATCCAGGACTGCCCGTGGTGTAATGTGCAGAAATAGTGGAGTCTTTAGCCGCCCTTCAGATGATAAGAAGTCTGCTCTTCGCTCACCGTGAGGTTGGGTGCAGAGTGCAGAGCATAGTGCAGACACTTGCAGGGGCAAAGCGCAGCGCAGGTGTGCGTCATCAGAAAAGTGGCAAGGTCACAAACAGCTGTTATCTCATTGGTTAAGCTTTGAAAATTCGGCATCAACCAATGTCAAAGTTGGAACAACGTTGAGCGCAGCGCTCTGTGGGAATTCCACGCTGTGTGGCACGCCAAGGGGAGTGCCTCCACTTCTCTCCCTAGAGGAACGCAATGGCACAGCCAGCGCACAGCGCTTTTACTGCCGATCAGGCGCGGGCGGCTTTATTCCGTCAATTTTGCGATCTTGGAACTGCTCCACTGACTGTGACTGTTGAATTGTGGAGAGTTTACTCAAGGTTACCAAAGGATTTGGCACGTTGTTCTACTTGCTGTGTGTGATAAACATACTGTGAGGCTCTGCCCTGCACTGGCACTGTGGTACTTGTGTCCCAGTCAAAAGCAGGAAGCAAAGAGAGAAACACTACTATCACTATCATAAAACCTCATCTTCTTCACTCTGCTCTCCTCTCCTCCTCTTCTTCTTCTCAGCCTGTGAGGAACCACAACCCCTGGATGCTGCTCTACTTCATCTCCTTCCTACTCATCGTCAGCTTCTTCGTCCTCAATATGTTTGTCGGTGTCGTGGTGGAGAACTTCCACAAGTGCCGGCAGGACCAGGAAGAAGAGGAGACCCGCTTACGGGAAGAGAAGCGGCTCAAAATGATAGAGAAAAAGCGCAGGAGTAAGGAGAATGGTGGAGCTGGTCGGTAGTCTATTTTTCTGAGCACTGCCTGCTTTCAGAGCCTGATAAAATAAAAAAGAGAATGACAGAGAGAGAAAACAGGGAAATGTATTCAGACTCCAAATAGGGGAGAGTCTGAAAGACTGGCTAGCTCACGCAAACAGTGATTGATCACTGACAGAAGGCGTGGGCTACTCGAGTCTGATGCATGTAAGTGCATGAATGCAGCCCTCCCCCAACATTGCTTGCAAAACTTTGGAAACCGGGCCAACCTAACCGACATCTCAACTATACATTTGTACTAATTTATCTAAAAATGTGTACGCTCACTCTTTAAACGATCAAACTGCGGCAACGATGCAGTATTCACAAGTCTCTATTTCATTTCTAAAACGATTCAATTAAAGTCCAAATCCTGTTTAATACTATTGCTGATTATAACGACAAGAATTAATGCATGCGAAGCCGATCGAGGTTGCTGCTTTCCTCCATGTGTCTCAGGAAATTTTGCTTGCAAAATTTTGATCAGTGAAACGCCGTTTCCCCTTCCTCCGGGCGCATGTTCAACCCCGACACCTGCGGCGTCTCTCGACACGGACAGCAGACGGACATTTCCTGTAAACACGCTTTGACTGGCAGACTCAGAAACATAGCAGACGTTTTGGCTGCTATACCTGCTATACCTTGGGTACAAAACAAAGGAAAAGAAGCTGTTAGAAGATCTTGTGTTTGTTATATATGGAGGTTTGTTGGTTACGGCTGATTTTAATTAGATAAACACAAAGAATACATTGGTATTTACTGAGTACTGGCTAATAGTGTTGTTGAACGTAACCTGCGCAGCCCCTCTCAACCACAGACATCACCCTTTACATCAAAGGCATGTAAGCATGCAGTAGACAGACAGGGCATGGTGGACTTTGTGAGGGGGGGGGGGGGCATCAACATGCACGTACCACATATACAATCATTGGTCGTCATATGTGGACATGTGAGTACACAGTCTGTCAAAACAACGAGCTTAAAGAACGTCACATATTGCACAGTTTTGTCCACCTCTTGAGTTCTACTTCATGATAACAGCTCCACTCAAAGTCTGTTTACTGTTCAAAGGCGAGACGCGTATCAGAAAGTACAGTCAAGGGTTTTAATGGAGACGGCCCGTTTAGGTCAGAATACATAGCGAGACCTCTCTGCCCTGACCAGAATGTAACTATCACAGAGGCAATGAATCTTGCAATAATGCTCCCATTAAAGAAGCACTCTGCAATATTTTGCTACTACTTTTAGTCCAGTTCAGGGAAGGTCAGGGATCTGTGTGCCAAAGACTGGTAGAAGAGAAGATCACTTGAAGGGGTGGCTTTGGTATCTTTCCACCTAATGTTTTTGTGTGTAACTAACTACTGGGGACAACTATTTCTGAAAGTGGTCCAGTATTATGCGAGAGCGTTGTAGACAGCAGCCGCTCACGGGCTGCAGTGAAACCTATGAGGTCACCTTCATTTATGTCCACTAGAGGTGCTTGTTTTGCTGCCGACAGGCTCTGATTATCATTGTGAGTGTCTGACATGATGAGTTGCTTCGTGTTCTCTAAAAGATTTTCCTTCTTGTGGCTGAATATTTAGATGATTTCGCCAATGTGGATGAGGTCTTTGAACTCAATGGCTGCCCAAATTCATTTGAGGCAGAGTAAACGGTGGAAGAATGCTGGAAACAGCGGGACCCGTTGCTGCCTGATGTTCAGACCATCGGAACCTGTCGGGTGCAAAAAGGAGCAAAAACAAGCACTTTTATTGGACGTAACGTCACATTGACATTGCATAATTGCCTTTGCAGCTCATTTTATTTGTAGCCGGTTACAGCGTTCTCCCTCAATACTGAGCAATTTAAAAAATACTTGTCCCCATTAGTTATTTTGACACAAAAACATGGGGGAAAAAATAGCAAAGTTACCGTTCTAGACTAGGAAACATGCCCTGCAACAGGTGAGGAGGCCAGGAAGCGAACTGCAGTTATTATTAACATGTGATACATTTAAATCCTGAATATTATAGCTTAGCTGTGACTCTCATGTCCTCTCTTACTTGATCATTTCATACAGGCAGTGCTGTGCACAGTCTATGTGAGGGGCATGGGGACATGGGAAAGAGGGACACCACCACAGTTAGGACACAATAGAGAAGTAAACGTCGTTGAATGCCATGAAGGAACAAGCACATCTTGATAGAATAACAGTAGAAGAAGTGAACATTGTGGTGGTCCCCCATCCTTGGCCCCCCTGCACTTCCCAGTGCACACCACTGGACACATGTAATATTTCCATCACTCACAGTTTCCCTCTTGCCCGTCCATGTTTTGATGTTGGTTTGTGTGTGTTTCTGTGCTCCAGAGGCCAAGCAGAGGCCTTACTATGCGGACTACTCCCCCCTGCGTCTGTCCATCCACACACTGTGCACCAGCCACTACCTGGACCTCTTCATCACCTTCATCATCTGCATCAACGTCTTCACCATGAGCATCGAGCACTACAATCAGCCGCAGGTAACGTTTCCGAGCAAGTTACCTGGAGGTATACGTACCAAAGTGTAGTCTTAAATAGATTCTCTGGTGAGTACGATACGCAGTCCTTTAACACAGCTAGAGGGTCTTCTTTTCTTTGCCCACTGTAAAATAAACATAAAGGTAGCCGTCCCTCTAATGATGACCGAAGTGACAGCTAGCTTTAGCTAAGTGACAACATGCTATAAATCTGCTGTGATTTAGGTTTTCTGTCCAAAGCGGCCGATGCGAGCATTTTGGCAAGAGACTCCGATTCCAAAAATAACCTCACTCTGTCGACCCAGCGTCAGTTTAACATTCCTTGTCAGATGACTCCGTAGTCATCTTCATCTTCAAAAAAAAAAGGAAGTTTATTTTGTGTATTTCTGAGGAGCTGCTGCTCTTCTAGAGTCTCATTGGAGTTTATTTCTACAAATATCCTCCAACCTGATTGTTATTTGCCCTCAGGCAGCAACAGAACATCCAAACATTCATTCTGTTTATTTCCACTAAAAGTAAAAGCTGTTGATTGTTTTTTTCTGCTCGTTTTAATTATAGATTATAAATAATTGTGTGTTGCCACCAAAATTGAAAAAGCATCTAGTATATGATAGATCATCTAATTATCTGCCTGTGTGTGTGTGTGTGTGTGTGTGTGTGTCCAGTACTTAGTGGAGGTTCTGAAGTACTGTAACTACGTGTTTACCTGCATCTTCATCGTCGAGACCCTGCTCAAACTTTCGGCTTTTGGCATTCAACGGTTCTTCAAAGACAGGTAACACAGTGGGATGTGCTGTAAAATCTAGTCCTCATTATCATTTATATTTGTCATTGTTTCCTAATTGCAACACATGTGGTGTGAAATAGTAACTGCTGCTCCACGAGTACATCTACAGCCTCCTCACTTTATGCTTTAGTGGCCTCTTGTTCTCGCTACACAGAGTTGAAGGGATTGTGGGTAGTACTCAGTAACACTTAACTGCACCAGGAAATGACTCTGTTTGTCTCTGTGTGTTCAGGTGGAATCAGCTGGATATAGCTATAGTGGCGCTGTCCATCATGGGCATCACACTGGAGGAGCTGAAAATGAGCTCGGCACTGCCCATAAATCCTACCATCATCAGAATCATGAGAGTACTCCGAATAGCACGAGGTAGAAACACACACACACACACACACAAATCATTCTATATCTGTTTATCTTGTACACAATTACAGGACATAAGTAAGTTGTTTTTGTGTCAGTTTGTGAGTCGTCACTACAGATGCTCGCTGTCTTAAGATGCTCCTGTGTCTCTCTGCAGTGCTGAAGCTTCTGAAGATGGCCACAGGGATGCGATCTCTGCTGGATACCGTCATGCAGGCGCTGCCGCAGGTAAACGCCGACTCTGTGGGGTCTCGAACACAAAAGGCTGCTTTCGTTTTTTTTGAATATAGGCCAAATATGAAGGTTTTGTTCGGAATAGAGAGCCCTCTGAAACATTTAAGCTTTTTGATGAATAATTAACTCAAGTCACATCCGTCCACATTAGAAAATGTTTATTCTGCCTCTAAAAATGTCTCATTCTGTGCCTTCCCTCTCCTTCCCCTACAACTGAACTGAGCAGTCCATTTGGTCTTTTTATGAAATATGCATTCTAATAGATGCCAAACACGTCACATAGGTTATTGAGTTTGAAACAAAAGAAAACACAGGAAGTGAAGTAACATAATTGTGTCTTATGGGCTCAACTCTGTCAGAGGTGGATGGTGCAGATGAGTCCATGGAGGGTTCAAAGAAGCCAGTTAGTAATTGAATGATTCACGGAGATGTTCTCTTCATACCGCATGTTTTCATGCACTGGACCTTAATCACCGAGCTTCGCTGTCATTTAAAAAAAAAAAACATTTAGAGTCAGACTGCACAGCCGCCGTCCCGATGTGCTCGGTGTGCTTTCTCCGTCAACACGCTCCCATTTTAAAGGATGTCCCTGCATGTGGCGGGAGTATCTGAGGTCTCTCTTTCTCCTGCTGCCCGGCACAGTTCTTAGAGGCAAACAGCAGCTGTGCCAAAGATTGTGATGCACATGCAATGACAGACTCCATTGTTCTGCAATGGTTCTAAATGTCAAGGGTACAGGTGTAACCATCGGGGCACAGGGCGCACAAGAGTACAGCTCAGTGAAGGTAGATGCAGATGTAATCACAGGAAGTGCATATAGTTCACAGGGTTTGCCCAACAAATCGTTCATGATTACTGTTTCTGTTACAGCACGCCGGGTTCACCACCAGATTGTTTTGTGTACTGAGGAGAAAGCTGCTGTCAATAACTCGGCTGATTGATAGAAAAAAGGCTTTCTGTGATTTCTTAGGGTTAGTGTATGTTTTGTTGTGTTGTAGTTAGTTAATTAAGTCCTCCTGGCAGTTTATCCATGTAGTCATTCTGTGTGAAAAATACAAATTCAGGTGGCATGTGAATGCAGGTTTTTTTCTACCTTACTGATGTGAAGCACAAACACATCGAGGCTTTGAATGCAGCAAGCGAGTAATTGCCTCAAACAACCCCTCGGTGTGAAGCAACGACCAACAACAAGTTTGAATTGGAGCAAAGGCAACGGGGACGTCAGCGTGCCGCTGTGAAACGTTTGCTTTCTGTTTGATGGCTGTGACTTTGCTCGCTCTGCTCATCTGGAAACTGTGAAAACAACTATTACAGTGAAATCACAAGTCGGATGGAAGTCATTTGAACCCATCGGTGTTTTCTTGTGCATTATTTTACGTGAGTGCTTACAGACGATGTTCCAGGAGGACAAAAGCTAATGTGTGTCGCTCCGGTATTTGCAGTAATGTCTCGAACAGCAAAAAGTCCATTTGGGTGCAGGACATTTTTGTAAATATATTATTCCCATTCATGTAGCATGGCTAGAATTGAATAATCCTAATCAATCCTAATGTCTCCTACTCCACGCAGCGTTAAACAGCAGTATTAACACCGGGGTTTGGTGTGCAGAGGGGCATTTAACATGCGTTTTGTTTCCAGGTGGGAAATCTCGGCCTCCTCTTCATGCTGCTCTTCTTCATCTACGCTGCACTGGGAGTGGAGCTCTTTGGCAAACTGGGTCAGTCACACTACTGGCAAAACACACACACACACACACCACGGTCTTCAGGCTTCAGCAGAAAAGGTTTTTTAAATCCAGTCATTACCAACTCAGTCACGACTTACAGCAAATTTTCTCCGCCTGAACTGTCTGCGTTGAATCCTCGCTCTCTACCCCCCGTCTGTCTCCCCCGTCTCTCTTCTTCTCCTCCACTCTCACATCAGAGACCTGCTTTCTGACAAGAAGAGATCACATTTGCATGATCACATTTATTTACATACTGCCTCCTCAATAGGCCAGCTCCATCCAACTCGGTCTCTCAGAGAGCGCAACAATATGTGAGGGAAGAGGATTAGCAAAGAGGCATCTGGGAGGACAAAATGAAAACAAGTGTGTGATGAAGAGGTCGCTCTCTGTGAAATGTTATTATGCTTCCGCTCGATGCAATAGGAATGCTAAAGGACGTCTGTTTTCCCCGTTTGGGAAAGTAAAAACCCCTCTCTGTTTCTTTTGCTATGTTTTTTGTCAAGCCGCTGACAAAAGCTTTTGGATGTGCCGAACGCCTTCTTTCCCCGTTCTGTGCCTCATTTTAAATCCTGTTTCAGGGCTTACACAGCTGCCGGAGTGAATTGTATTTTGGTACAGGCTTGTACAGCAGTTTGGTGGAGTATATTCCAGTACAGCTTGGTCAGGATCAGTGATCTGTTACTTTACAATCATATCATCTCTGGAGGTTTCAGTATGTCTTTACAGTAGGTTCTTTGCTGCCTCCTCACTTCATCTTGGATATTTTTACACTACAGGAAGTGTCTGGGAATTCACGCTGATCACCTGTTACGTTGAAAACGCATCTCATTCCTGCTTTTTATATTTCCCATGAAACGTTTCCAATAACTTTAAAGACCGTTAATGCAAAGCAATAAGATCTAGTAAAGGCCTCCACTTGTATGAGCTCTTAGTGTGGATGGACTCTTGAATAACATTTTATCCTGCTTATGCTCCACACAATGTTGTGAAATAACCGGCCACCAATAACTGGTGCATTAAATCTTTCTGGCCTCAGACGGGAACAAAGACATTGTAAGATCTGAAGTTTCTTTGGGAGATGTAAGACGTGTGTGAAACGCTGACCGTGGTGTCTGCAGAAGTCTGAGCAGATAAGAGACGCTCACAGGCAAGGGAAATGTTCAGACTCAGCTTTGTATTCAAGCTTTGGTGCTGACTGATGGTATCGAATGGATTTCACTTTGAATCTGAATCTAAATCAAATTACTGATCTCTTGAAACCCAATGAATGAATCTCCGTCCTCTAGCCACTCGGCCGTGACTCAGACTTTGGGAGAAGAAGTTTTTTCTGCCTGGTATTTTTTACCTTTACATTCATACTGGTTTCATCTTATGTCATCTAGGTTATTTTAAAGAATCCGTCTGGCCTTTTTTTATGTTTTATAAAATTATTCTTTTGTCTCTTTGTTTCTTTATTTCAGTTTTGCATGAACAGAGCTACATGAATAGAGTTTGACGCCGTTGTTTTCATCTCCTGTGAGCCGCACACCTCTCACTTTTCTCCTGGTGGTTGATCCGTAGAATAAGATACACAGAATACTCTGAGGACTGTCTCGTACCTGCTTATGTGACCCGGGGGCTCGAAACAAAGGAAGACATCCTCCGGTGTTTTGATTCTACGACCCGGCTCCTGAGAGCTGTCTGTCAAGTTGACCCTGAGACTGATGGAGACTTTGTTCTCCTCTCCTCTGTCCACAGGGACACGCTGCTGAGCAGCTGTTTGTGCGTTCAGCCGTCAGCGCTGACTGAAGCATTAGGACATCCTGACAATCGTATGATCATTGACACGTCTGTCGTGTGGTGTATTTACTGTCTGTCCATGTTTGTGTGTTGATCAGAGTGCACTGAACACAACCCATGTGAGGGTCTGAGTCGTCACGCTACCTTTGAGAACTTTGGGATGGCCTTCCTCACACTGTTTCGAGTGTCCACAGGAGACAACTGGAATGGGATTATGAAAGTATGAACACTCACTCACACTCACACACACACACATATATATGATGACTAGATTATCCCATAACCGCACAGAAGAATGACCTCCAAACCCAATTATGGAATAATAAAGTGGCTTAGAGCCAAGCAATGTCAACACTCTCACATCTTGAGTTTTACTTTATTATAAAAACGTTATACTGATGTAATCATCATAAAATCGTCCTCAAAGCCAGAGTCAGTAATCGTCTTCAAAAACATTTTTGATATTTTCTTTAAAATTCTCATTACATCCTGACACGAATCAAATGCTCTGTCAGAAAGAGAAGAATAAAATCCCGTATATGTGAATGTCACAGGACTGAAATGAGCCGTGCAATCATTTTATGTAATGATTGGACGGGCTACCTGCCTTCGTGTACTCATTACTCATCCTCCACAAGCTGCTAGCGGGACAGCTGTGAGTACTAACAACAGGCATATTCACTGTTTACGTTCATTCTGATATTTGTGGGGGAGCTGTTTAGAAGGAAGGCCTGGGGGGGGGGGGCAGTCAGTGTTTGAGACTTGATATGAGACTCTCTTGCCTCTAGCTACTTTTTTCTAAAGATTACCAACCCTGCCTTTAACTGACTCAAACTTCTGTTGATTTTTCATGACCTAATGTCCAATTTCTGTGGATTTATATCATTTGTTGATTGAATTATTTTCAGTGGACATTGATACAATCAACCACACCACCTTTATTTCCAGTAGAGGGCAAGACACAACTCACCCGTCAGTGAGTTTAACCTGTAGCTAAAAAAGGCTTCTCCTTATTTAACCTCTCAACATCCATCCACTTGTTTTTCCTTTGTATACAATTTGCCTCAGAGGGCTTTCTCAATCTCTCCAGCATACGGCATCCTCTGTCCCAGGACCCTCGCATCGAAACATGAGAAACCTTTCATTCTAGGAGAAGACAATCTAACGGTAGATGTAAAGTAATGCTGCCTTCATGCCACATCCTTGATGTGATGTTTACCTGTTGACCAAACACAGAGAGGAATCACCCTCAAGTGTAAACCACTGGTGTGTCATGCAGGACAGAATTTCTTCATTCATATTTAAGTTTTATGTGCAAGTGCCTCATAACACTGGTTAGTCAGCGCTCACTTTCATCCAGCAGGCTGCAGATTGTATCTGTGAACGGAGCTGTTCGGTTATTGTCAGGCCAGTTGTACGCGGGCCAACCTGCACTGCATAAAGCAAGGTGTTACAGTATGTAGATATGTGGGTACGGTAAGTAACAGCAGCTGTTCATTTCAGCGCTCGCTCTGCTGCCTGACATCAATCCCACTCACAGTTAGATTCTTCCAAATTTCTAATTTTCTAAAGTTGTAAATGAGGCTCCATATCTAACCAACAGTTAAGATTTCAAAGCTTTGTGATATAGCCTCTGGTGTATCGGACAATAGCGCACATCCACCTGTAATAACTGCTCGTGTGTGTGTGTGTGTGTGTGTGCGCGTGTGTGTGTGTGTGTGAATCTTTCTCTTGTGTCATTGAAGGACACGTTAAGGGAGTGTCATCCTTCAGAGCGCCACTGTCTCCCCTACCTGCCTTTGGTCTCTCCAATCTACTTTGTCACTTTTGTGCTCATGGCCCAGTTTGTGCTGGTCAATGTGGTCGTGGCGGTTTTGATGAAACATCTCGAGGAGAGCAACAAGGTACAGTAACTGGAACGGCTTAGACACGTGTGTGAACAAAGACTGTATCTAAATAGCTTAAGGTATAGAGAGACACAACATTGACTGTATTTAATGTGGTCAGATAGTGAAAGCGCATCTACCTTTGCAGGAGGCGAAAGAGGATGCAGAGATGGATGCAGAGATCGCCTTGGAGATGGCGATGGAGAGGGAACGCAAATTAAGCATAACTTCGAACAACAGTTCAGTGGGAGGAACCTATGTGGGGCCGTGTCCACATTCACCTGGACAGGTAGGAAGCACACAACCTACTCACTCAGGAAACCTGACCAACTGTGAGACTACACTGGAAGTGAAATTAAGGGTGCAATGGAGGACAGTAGTGTCAGCTGCATGTCTTTTCATTTAGTTCACCCGCTGTAGAACACCATGTGTTGCATCACGGCACAAAGACCCAGTTGGATGCTGGACTCTGTGGTCTCTGTCTCCCCCCGCAGGAGGAAGAGGTGCAGTACGGCGACCTGCTGTCGTCGAGGAAGATGTCCGTATCCAGGATGCACTCTCTGCCTAACGACAGCTACATGTTCCGGCCCGTGCGGCCCGCCAGCGCCCCCTACCCTTTGGAGGAGGTAGAGCTCAGTCCCCAGCACCAGCATTCAGGTAACTTATGTCGTCTGTTGAGGATTTAAAATATGTGACGTGAAGTCAGCATGCCGTTTTGTGTGTGTGTGTTGAACAGCCACTGAGATTGTTCTAACAGACACAGATGCTTCATAAACTTCACATGGACTAAGATTGTTCCATGATGCATGCATGTTTCTAGCACCAAAACTAGATCAATGCTTACAAATATGTTATGTAAGAGAATATAGAAGTACTTTGTAATGTGGTGATAGAGGGATCAGATGTTTGGCGTGACACAGAAGTTCAATTTCTAAATTAGAGCTACAGCTGGCTAATGCTATAATTTCATTTGAGTGAAAGGCTGAAGCTTCAAGTATGTATTTTGTATGGAGTCTTGGGTCCCCTGGTAGTTTACAAGTTTGTGTTAAAAAAGAGTACTTTAAAGCCCCAACCTAGAGTTTTGTAGCATTTCTTAGCCCTGCCAAATTGGGAAAATTGCTAACAATATGAATATATTCCCATTTCTCGATACGACACGGCTTTTATATTTGACTATCCAGCACAGTAGATATACCCCCCCCCCCTTGGAGCTTAAATTTGGCTCGGAAATAGATTTTAGTTTTGGCATACATTCAAACTTCAAGATGAGACGGACACTCAGGTGCAGCCTCAGGCAGAGAGCTCGTACTTCTTCTAGTGCAGGAGCCACAGTGTTCAGTGCCACAGTCGGATAGTTAACAGCAAAGTATGAGAGTCAGTAAGACGGTTATCTTTTATGTTATTGTATCTTTTACCACATTGGTAAATAACCACGTCGTCAGTCTGTTTGCAGTGTTACTTTGTCTTCATGCTGTAGCTTTGTAAAAGATATTGACAGATTCAACCTACAGGGATGATTTAAGTGTGTCATAGTTAAACGTTGAATACTTACACTATCAATCTTTTTATGTTTTATACATGCATTTCCATACATGGCGGTTTTTTTTTTTTTTTTTTTTTACTTCCTTGCATTTGTAGTGTTCTTGTTTCCGGCTTGGGTCTTTAAACACAAGTCAAAAATAAGACAAATTGAAGAAGATGCTGAGAACACTATCTAAGCACTGACGAGCACTGTTTTATCTGCAGTCAGATTCTAATGGCATGTTGTGGCCGGGCTGCGGACAGACCGGGCTCTGTCCCAAGGTACTGACTGCAGCGGATGAGCTGGTGATATGTGAATCTCTGCAACCTTCACACGGGCTCATCTGCTCAGCTGTGGAACGGCTGAATACTCCACGAGAATGACGGTTAACTTCATGGTCAAGCTGCAAAGTCACAAAACTAGATATGTAAAAACAAACTGGATCATCACAGCTGTGGGCTTCTTTGTCTATTGTTAGCTTTTGAAGCTTAAATTGGTAAATTTATAAACAAGTGGCTTTACAGCTTGACCTGAAAGAACCAATAGAAAATGAACTTGTTTCAGATCTAACTCTGACATTGCTGCGATGTTCACGTCAACACATTTCACACCCTCAGGCTCAGTGACGTCGGTCCACTCACAGCCATGTGAGAGCCGCGCGCTGCTGCAGGTTCCAGACGTCTCCCCCGTTCACCCTCGACAACCCCCCTCCCTCACCCTGCCCCGCATCGCCCCGCCCACGCCCAGCCCCTCGCCACGGGCCCTGCGCAGACAGGTGAGAGACCCCGTTTCAGCTGTCTGCATACATTGATAAACACGTTGAAACGCGTGTTACAGTGATAATGTCCATTTAGACTTATTGATGAGAAGTTTGTTTTTTATGTTGCAGGTGGCAGTTAAATTGGATTCTGTGGAGTCCCAGAGTTGCGAGCAACAGGGGAGGCCCAACTCTGTCCATCTGCCTCCCCTCTCCCCTCATCCTTGCTCCCCATCTCCCCTGCCTCCTCCTCCCCCCTCCTCCCCCTCAGCCCTCCCTATCCCCCCCTCCTCCCCTTCTGCCTTCCCTCCTCCCTCTCACTCCTCTCTGCATCCGCTACTGTCCTGCCCCTCTTCCCTCCCTCCTGCGCCGTCTTCCCCCTCGCTTCTCCTCCCTCCACCTCCCTCCCCCCGTCTTCGAAGACCTCGGCCGCCCTCTGCCGTCTCCCTCTGCGACCCGGCGGATGAGGAGGTGTACCACATCACCAGCTCCGCCCGCCACAGGTGGAGGAACGAGGAGGGAGGGGGGCAGGAGGGCAGAGGGAAGGCCGGACGCAGCCACTCCCTCTCCCCCTACACCACCCCCCACTCTCTCAACTCCCACTCCACCTCCTCCCCTCCTCCTCCCCCGCTGCCGCCTTCCTCCTCGAGGAGCGCCTTCCTCAGTCTGCTTGGGGCGGGACTGACGGACCCTGACTTCAGGAAGGGTTTGAGCGGTGACCACCACGCCATCCCGAACGAACCGTCATCCCCGTCCACCGGTTACCCTGACGACCAGCGGCGCCACTCTATCGAGGTTTGCCTCCCGCAGGCCGTCATCGACGGTGATGACCAGGACTTTACACGTGAGACCCACCGGTCGGAGAAAGGTGGTCAGGCATTTCCTGTGAGGGTGCGGTCGGTCGGGGGTGGCCACAGGAAGAAGAAGATGAGTCCTCCTTGTATTTCCATCCACCCGCCCAGTGAGAGGGAACACCCCCAAATAGCCTCACCCCCAAACCTGGCTGACTGCAGCACGCTGCTGAGACGCAGGACACCGTCCTACGACCTGAGCCCTGCAGATTCACAGACGCGCACGCAGACGCACTCCCCGCTGCACACGCCGCTCACGCCCATGCACGCGCCGCTGCAGGCACAATCGCCGTCGCACACGCTGACGCCCTCGCCGGCGTCCACTCCGACACACACGCAGACATACACGCCACCGCGTGCGTCCACGCCACCGCGTGCGTCCACGCCCACGCTCCCGCACGTCCCGATCAGCCCGAACATCTTCATCCAGCCGCATGCACCTCTCGTCCCGAGGCCTTTCTCGCAGACGCACTCCCTCTCCCCCGCTGCGAGGCATTCCTCGCTCACGGGGGAGTACATCCCCCTCCCCCAGTTCACCTTCGACCAGCCACAGTCCAGGTTCATGAGCGGCCTGTCAGCTGGCCTATCAGACACCGACACAGCCACCTGCTCTTCTCCCTTCGACAACAGACTGGGAAGCGGCGCAGGATTCAGTGCAAAGAATCGGAGGACCGCCCAGTGAACATCGGGCATTAGCCTGCAGGAAGTGAATTAATTGGTCCTAAATCTCTGAAGTTGGGGGGATGACCTCAGCAGAGATTGGTGCTGGGGAGAAAATGAGAGAAAGAAGTTTACTGGGAGAAGGATTTGTTGTTGTTTTTGAGCGCTGAAAAGACATGACTTATTCTTTTCACAGAGACACTGGTACAGTCCCGCCCCAGAATAATAGACGGTGGATCCATCTTCCTAAACCCAGCTTGAAGGACAGCAGATCCACTGAGGCTGTACCAGTCAAACAGTACCCACAGTACATGGTGTGTTTGGGACTAATACTGATAACACACCAGGACTAAAGCCACCTAACTCCGTAGCCAAAGTTTTTTTGTTTTTTTTGACACACTGTCCCCACCCACGCGAGCCAATCAGGAAGCAGCGTCTGGCTGACAACCTCTGACTTTTACAAGAAGTGGTTTGTGAGATGCGAGCGTGGGGGGAATCGTGGGATATGCAACTTCAGGTTTTCTACAGAAGTTCTGCTTGCCCCTCTTCTGCTCCTCGATCACATTGATCAGAGCAGATGTGTGTGTGTGTGTGTGTGTGTGTGTGTGTGTGTGTGTGTGTGTGT